CTGCTCTATGCTGATGGGAACGAGCTCTCCTGTCGACAAAAATAATACAGCTCAATGTGCAGCAATAGCTTTGTCAATGGGAGAAGCTCACCTCACTGATGCTGCCATTTATGCTGGTGAAACTTACATCTCTCAGGGAGGTGGGCTTTTTTCACACTCCTGAGTGACAGACATGTTGCCAGCATAAACAGTAGCACAGACATGGCCTGAGACAATGATTCAAATAGGCATGAGCTGTTCCCTTGCACCAGACACAACTCTCACTGAAATCAGAGGCAGTTTTTCCAGGACTTCCAGACCAGCAGACTGCACACTCAAAGAGCCAACATAAGTCGGTGAACAGGAACATGAATGCAGCTATCGACCAAAGCAAATATTTCTATATTCCAGAAGTCAGAGCGCAAGAACCTTCCCCAGTGAGAGAGAGCTTTTAGCGGCTAATTCCCACCGAATTTAAGCTGCCATTGATAAAGCAAGTTCTCACTCAAAGCCTCCAAATGGGAACGCACTGTCTATATATCGTGGGTCAGGACCAGTGGATGTAGTACAATGTCTCTGGCCCTGCAGCTGAAAGCAGGTTTCCAGTCACTTCACAGGTAACATGAGGCAGAGTATTACAGCAGTTTAATGAAGATCTGCTTCCTCTTGGCACCCTTCATTCATCTGCTAGAAAGGGGTAGGAATTTCAGATGGTGAGATATTGGCTAGATGCTGATGGGGTCCCCCAAATGGGGTTCAGACACACCAGAACCCTTGCAGAAGCCCTAGCAGCTGCTTTCTCCCTCAACAGCTGGGTTTGCTGTTTAGCTTTACTTTGGATCCTGCTGCGTCTCCCTTCTTCATCTCTATCTCTGGCTAGCAGATTTATGGTGACTCTTCAAGCTTTGTACTAGTCATTGTTAAGAACTGGGAAGATCTTGCACTAAAAGGAACCACTGCGATGCAGCTACTAATCTTTCAGGACTTAGTTAGACAAGAAGGACTAAAATAGCACCATATCCCATCAGTTAAAGCCAATGGGATCCAACATCCGTATCATAGCTTAGCACACACTATCTCATTCCCCTGTCTGCTTGGAATGCTTCAATGTTCTAGTTAATTTCACGCACAGTGGATTGAGGCTTTGCTTTCAAAGCTTCATTTTAAATTCTTTCAGAATCAAACCTGGTATGCTCAAAAGTAAAAATCCTTTTGAAATTTTAACACTGGTCTGTTTTTTGCATCATTTCTCCACAGTAGACAAGAGGACCTGCACACTGGAAGGGAGGCTAGAAATAGGGATGTAAGCAACTAGTCGACTACCCAATAACCATACGCTTATCAGGTAATCAAGTAGTAACTCGACTAGTTGCTCCTGGAGTTATTGTGGACAGTTCTCTGAAAACTTCCACACAGTGTGCTGAGGCGGTCAAAAAGGCATATAGAATATTAGGAATTATTAAGAAAGGGATAGAAAAGAAGACACAGAATATCTTACTGCCCCTGAAAACTATGGTACGCCCACATCTTGAATACTGTGTACAGATGGGGTCTCCTCACCTCAAAAAATATATTTTGGCCTTGGAAAGGGTTCAGTAAAGGGCAACTAAAATGATTAGGGGTTTGGAACAGGTCCCATATGAAGAGAGGCTAAAGGGACTGGGACTTTTCAGTTTAGAAAAGAGGAGACTGAGGGGGATATGATAGAGGTCTATAAAATCATGAGTGTGGAAAAGGTGAATAAAGAAAAGTTATTCATTAGTTCCCATAATATAAGGACTAGAGGACACCAAACGAAATTAATGGGTAGCAGGTTTAAAACTAATAAGCGAAAGTTCTTCTTCACACAGCGGGTAGTCAACCTGTGGAACTCCTTGCCAGAGGAGGCTGTGAAGGCTAGAACTATAACAGAGTTTAAAGAGAAGCTAGATAAATTCATGGAGGTTAGATTCATAAAAGGCTATTAGCCAGGGGGTAGGAATGGTGTCCCTGGCCTCTGTTTGTCAGAGGTTGGAGATGGATGGCAGAAGACAAATTGCTTGATCGTTGTCTTTGGTCCACCCCCTCCAGGGCACCTGGTGTTGGCCACTGTCGGCAGACAGGATACTGGGCTAGATGGACCTTCGGTCTGACCCAGTATGGCCGTTTTTATGATCTTGCATTAATTTTCAACAAGCTCTCCACCGGCAGAATAGTTGGATGGGATCTATAAAAAGTTGAATATCTAATGGTAGGACATTCAACCCTTGTTAGACAACAAAAGCACTGCATTGTGAGTTTTGAGTAGACAGAGCAGAAAAAAAGAATTTGTATTAAACTGTTGAAAACTCCCTTCCAGAACCCCCAAATACTTTACTGATACAAATGCTACAGAGCTCAAGTCACCCACTCTTGAAAAAGCATTCCACAGTACAGAGGAACTCTACATGAACATTTGAGGATAGGAGTGAAGAAACAATGCAGCCAACTGAGAGCAGAGAGCACATTTAGCAAGTTGTAATTTGGCTAGGCTATGAGGATTAACACCCCCAATTAAAAGAAGAGGCCTGTAAAATCTTTAGAAACCGCAAATACCATTCTTGTTGCTAAACTGAAGGCTAGTCTCAATGGAGAGACAAGGGTATTAATGGTCTCCTACCCTTTTTACCCTTTTCAAAAAGAACTACATAAATTCATGGAGGGGAGGTCCATCAATGGCTATTAGCTAGGATGGGCTGAGATGGTGTCCCTAGGGATGTAAAGGACTAGTCAACTATCTGATAAGCAAATGTTTATCGGATAGTCGACAGAATAGACACTAGTTGCTCCCCCCGCCCCTGCTGCCTCTACCAGATAGAGGCAGCAAGGGAGGGGGAGGAAAAGGGGATACTTAAAAGCAGCAGCGCCTCATGGAGCCCGGGGTCAGCTGGAGAGTCTCCAGCTGATCCCGGGCTCCAAGCTGCTCTGAAATGCCAGGTGGAGCCTGAATCAGTTGGGGTCTCCTGGCTCCCTGCAGCGTGCCAGGTTTGAAATGTACAAGAGTCCCCAGTGGGGCTCTTGTGCATTTCAAAGAGGAAGCGCAGCATGGAACCTGGGGCCAGTGTGGGACTCTGAGTCCCCTGCTGATTCCAGGCTCCATGCTGGCACTTCCGCTTCGAAATGCACAAGTCTTCACTGGAGCTCTTGTGCATTTCAAAGCAGAAGCGCCCACGTAGAGCCCGGAGTCAGCAGAACTTCCCGCTGGCCCTGGGCTCCAAACTTTGAAAAGCACATAATGACGCACATTTCAAAGGCAGAATGTGGAAATGCTTATCGACTAGTCAAGTAGTCGATGGAAATTCCATCAACTACTCGACTAGTAAATTAATCACTAGTTAACATCCATAGGTGTCCTTAGCCTCTGTTAGCTAGAAGCTGGGAATGAAGACAGGGGAGGGATCACTTGAGGATTCCCTGTTTTGTCCATTCCGTCTGAAGCACCTGGCATCAGAAGACAAAATACTGAGTAGACAGATCTGTGGTTTGACCGCTTTATGTTCTTGTATCTGTTTAATGTTAGAGAGCTAAACATTGTGGTACTCTTAAATATTCAAATTATAGGGACAGTCAGCAGCAGCTTTGTTTTCTGCCCATAACAGTCCCTATAATTTGAATATTTCCATTAAACACAGCAATGGAATGAGGAACAGACCCAACTGCATTCCACCAGAAGAGTTTCATGAAGAGAATAATTTTGCTTGCAGATGAACAGGGAGGGGCAGAGAATAAATTCTACTGCTTCATCATGAGGCCTGCACAAAGCAGGAACCTACGTGAGAATACTTTCATTTAGTGTCGCTCTGTAACTTTCCTTAAACTCTGGTCTGAAATCACCATGATTTTACTGAGACAGGAGTGAAAGGAATTAAATGCTGCACCATCAAGGCTTCCTTGCATATGCTGTCTGCTTTCCTCTGTGCCATCTCTAAAATTTGGAAGTGTTTGCTGGCATCTGACTGTGCTGTCATGTGTCACCCTGCCTACAAGATTATTCCAAACACACAGAAGTCTGCAATTTCTCCTCTGGTGACTCATATGCAAACAACTTAAGGTTTGCATTTGACCAGCCACCCAGTAGGGAGACTGACCCTCAGAGAGAAAATATAGCGAGAGCTACAGAGAAGTACTGTACCAAAGACACTAAAAGCTAGACTGGGAAAATTACTACAGGTTGGATCTCTCTGGTCCAGCACTCTCGGGACCTAACCGGTCCCGAATGAGGGAATTTTCTAGACCAGGGGAGGTCCCCTGCTACTGGCCCCACAGCCTACTGCCAGCCCCTGCTACCCTCCTCCCGGGCTGCTGCGACCCACCTCTCTTGCCAGGCTATTGAGGCTGCCACATCCCTGGCCCCTCTACCAGGGCTGCCATGTCCCTAGCCCTGCTAAATTACATCTTCAATCCATCACTGATTTGTCATTCTATAACAATTTCTTGGTTTTAGTCCAACAGTGACTATATTAAAGTCCAGACATCAGATCAGTTTTAAATCCCCAAATTCAACAATCTGATGATACACTGCACACATCTGCTAGTATTTAGGGTGGCCTTGTGGGGCCAGATTTGACAAGTAAACATGGTACCCACATTAGCCAAGAAGAAGTTAAAAAAAAAAATCTAAACCTCTCCCTACCACATAACTGTAGATAAAATAACTCATCTGCATGCTTCAGTTCATCCAACGCTAATCTGTGTCGCAAGCCACAGGGAAGTGGAGCGCATGAGGGTGGAAGATATGGGGGAGGGTGTGGACTCTGATTCTGTCATTACTATCAGAGGTAAGGAAACCCAACACAAGGAAAGACAAGCAAAAGCAAATAATGGCGGGTGTGTGTGCGTGTGTGGGGGGGACCCTCTGTAATTAGCAGTTACGTCTGGACACGGTGTTGGGCACTGAGATGAGACAGGGTAGAGAGGAAACCATGTTAGATTATTCCAGTGCAGAGACTAAACTAAGGGTGGAAGTCAAGCCTCATTATACCATCCCAGTGCCCCATACGTACCCAGCAGGTGCCCCGCCAGTCAGCCACCCAGGGCTACGTGCCCCCTGCTCTCACACGAGCCAGGGTCCTCGCAAAGCCCCCGCTGTCGAGCTCCCCCTGCCCAGCACCAAGTGCCCCCAAAACAAAGCAAGCCAGG